ATACTCTGCTCCTGAGGATGATGAAACACATCAAGGAAGGAGTCTGCTGACATCAACCATGCTGTGTATGGGCTCTGCACAGCCGCTGATCAGTGGCGGAGCTATCACCATAACGACCCAGGTGGCCGCTATGGGGCCTAGGGCACAGGGGGGCCTGACCAGGAAGAGGAACAAAGGGGCCCCTCTGCTGCCGTGTGGGCCACCTGGGTCGCTATGGCATTACAGGCTACTTGCTGTCAGTGATTTGCGCAGCGGCGCTTTCCTCCTCACAGCCGCTAGAGATAGTCAGCAGCTGGGGTGGAGAAGGAAAAGGCCAGACCAAGCGGCAGTGGAGGAGGCGGGGCCCACAGCTAGGGGGCATGTGCCCCGGTGCCGCTTTAGGAGGGGCGCCACTGGGTGTGTGGATGAAGAACTTCCCCCTGGGGGAGGGGGGCAACTCTGAGCCTTTACCCCAGGTGACAATGTCTAGATCCCCCACTGCCGCCGGCGACCGAGAAGGCTGACTGCGGATTGTAGCTGACAGGTAAGAGGTGTGCAGGGGTGTGACCAGCCCAACAGAGACCCTGCACAAAATTTTGCTATGGGGCCCTGTGATTTCTAGTTATGCCCCTGCCGCTGATGTGAGAATTTTCTTTGTCAGTGGGGGTTTTTAAAAAAAATTATTATTATTAAAAAAAGGTTTTATTCTCGGAGAGGGAGCACTGTTTGGCGGTACACCATGTTTGCACATTCTGAACACCAGTTTGGTCACTGCTGGGATATATTTATCGTCTGGATGGCCATTTGTGATGTTTTTTTGGCACTTTTAAACAGTATTTTGTGATATTGGATGTACACTTTCAATTTGTATATATTATTTGCACTTTTTGTATTGTAAAATGTTTTTTTTTTTACAGCGCAGGGCAATTTGTATGTTTAAGTCATCATTTGAGCATACGGTCCGAAGGATAGGGGTTCACCCTTCCTTGTTAAGGTATACAGTACAAGATCTGCTAGAGTTTCATGGCGTTTCCAGACTCAGGCATGTTTCTCAGATTTGCAAGGCTGCCATCTGGTCTTCTGTGTGCACACTTATCAAATGAACCAGGCCAATGCCGATGCTAATTTTGGGCGGGAGATTTTTCAGTTGGGCCCCTGAGACTTTGGCCATGCCTCTGCTTCTTGTTTTCTGTTGGCATTGATGTTCCTGGGGCCTGATAGCCATTGTTTGCTGTTACTTGTCCCTCTGACTTCTTTTGAACATCATAGTGGTCTAAAAATTAAAACCTTGTGCCCTGTGATGTACGTTTAAGCAAACAGGATTTTTGACTTACCTGCAAAATCTGTTCCTTAGAGTACATCACAGAACCCTCTCCTTTATTTTCTGTGATCCACTCTGTACTGCTTGCTGCAAAATTTAAGCAGATTGTAAGAGGGAGGGGTTATGCAGGGCTGTCCCACAGCTTTGACTGATTTGCCAATGTCCAATCACCTGAAGGTAGCTGCATAACCCATTTATTCAAGAATAAACTCCATGCGTCCTGTGATGTACTCCAAGAAAATGATTTTACAGGTAAGTCACAGTACAGGTCCTCCCTTTGTTCCTGTTGCAAATCGGAGGCTTGCTGGCAGTGGAAGGGATTTACTAGGTCTGTTTTTGCAGCTTTGTTTGTGAGGTAATTGGACAAGGTAGCTATTTATAACCCATGGATAAGACTGATCCTGTGTCCCGTGCGGTACTCCAAAAGATGTTTTACAGGCAAGTCCAATTCTCTTCTAGCCTTCCTCAGTCATGAAGTTAGAGATTTCTCTTAAGGTGACCATACACTGCACGATTATCGTACGATAATCGTATGCGATCGGTTTTTCGTACGATAATCGAGCAGTGTGAACGGAGACGTGCGACCGTTTCTACTGTACGGTCGCACGTCTTCTGTCGAACCAGCATGTTCGAAAACCAGCCGGGAATCGTACGATTCTCGGCTGGTTAGAACAGTGCTCGGAAGCCAAATGCCGAGTCACACAGCAAAAATGTAAAAAGTGTGTCAGTCATTTAGGAACAGAAACTAAAAACTAGCTCAGTCATGAAGGGGTTAAGACGTAGTCCTACACAGGGAGGCCAATTTACTAAAGGAGTTGAGAATCTTCACTTAAACTGTAGCTGCGTTCACTTTTACTACTCAATGTGCAAATAAAATAAAACAGGAATTTGCTTTTCACACAATTGGATAACTGAATCTTTGCACAATTTATTAAAGGAGAACTATGAGGTTAAGGCTTTTCCCCATAGTTCTCCTTAGGGTAACGGGAGGACACAAACTAGCATCCTCCCGTCACCCTAGGCTCAGTATACTGCGAGCTGTAGCTCGTGGTATACTGAGACTCCAACAATGATGCCTGGATCCGCCTAGCTGCGTGACTTGACAGCTAGCTCTGCCTATCTAGAGGCAGAGCCAGCTGTACCCGCCCCCTCCCCCGTTCTGCCAGTCAGCGCAGGCGGATGGGAGGAGGGAATCCAGCCCCTCCCCTGTCACGGCAGAGGGCCGTGACAGGATCGAGAGGTGAGCGAATGCCGGTATGTGTTCGCTTACTTCCCGATCTACTGAGCCGACCTGTGACAGTCTCATTGTCACAGGTCGGCTAGAACTATGAGGTGAGTGAAAAGCACTCACCTCATACCGTAGTTCTCCTTTAAGTAAATACTCTCAACTCCTTTTATAAAATCAACCTCAAAATGTATTTGGGGGAAGAATCGAAGGTATATACAATGCTCTGTGCATGGTTTTACACTTCTGTAACAGGAGCGCAGAAAGAAGTGACATCAGCAATAGTACATTATACAGCGCAATGCAGAATACCACCAGCTATAATGTACTATTGCTGGGATTTGTTGTAGTCCTCTATAGCTGGTGATATTCTGCATTGCGCTGTATAATGTACTATTGCTGGGATTTGTAGTCCTCTATAGCCGATGCCATTCTGCATTCATTGCTGTATAATTTTACACTTTCCATTTCACTATATTGCACACCACACCATTTTTTTACTTCCACCGCTCCAAGCTTGCTCCTGTGATCCATTTTTTTAAATGTATGTTATTGTTTATCCGATTAACCGATTAATCGAACTTAATAATCGGCTAACTAATCGATTTTGAAAATAATCGTTAGCTGCAGCTCTAATTCATTCATTTGAGACGCATTCAGAAGTTCTTTAATATTGTTATGTAAATGACAGAATTAACACGCACCTTGTTGAACCAGAACAAGTATGCAGATAAGGACATCGGCATCTCAGAGTTTTCTGTCCTGCATACTCATCCTCTAAAAGTAATAAAGCCAGATGCTCAGCATCATAGACTGTGCAGAATTAGGCTGTACATTGCAAACAAGTGACAGGCAATTAGCATTTTCAAAAAGAGGTCAGCATTGACTGCCTTCATATCTCTCTCTCAGTACAGGTTTCTGTTCATTTTCCTTGACCCCCTATTCATGCTGGTTTGTCCGTGACAACAAGCTGGTTCCCATGAGTCATCAGCACCAGATTTTTGAAGGAACAGTACCGGCACATAATGACGTGTGAGTGAAAAGAATTCAGTTCAGATAATTCCAGGAAATCATCACAATGAACAGCTCAGTCTGTTTTCTGAAATCCAAATGTAAAATCTGATGGTAAAACCTCTGGCACCATCTGCAATAACTGATCATCATGTGATCGCAAAGTCCACAATTTCTCCAGTTCGTAGGCCTCTCTAGTTTCCGGCAGCATAAAGTGAACCACAATATTACCTGGGAGGGAAAAAAAAAAAAAGTCACATAACTAAAAGTCTGGCCATCGATGGTGCGAGGCACACAGGTTTACTGACTACACGGGTGTGGAAACTACTTGCCCAAGGGACTAAAGTGGAGGACCAATCTACTTGTCCCGATATAAAAAATTAATTTGAACCAAAACGGTATTTAACTAAGAAGCACTTCAGTTTTTTAGAGGACAACTAGGGCTTTCCTGACATCATATGTATATAAATGAACCATGATTTAATATGAAGAAAATCTAGAATTTTAAGTAAAAAGCCAAAAAAAAAGAGAAAATTTAAATCAAACCCCAAAAATACTGAACAGAACTATTGTACTGATCACAGCAATAGAACACCCAATTTTTGGGTAAAATATAAAAGATCTGGTTATATCGAGTAAATAGATACCAAACATGTCAAGTTGTAAAGTTGTGTGCGCCTGTGCAATGGCGCAAAATGATGGTACACAAAATTGTCCATAGGTGATGCTTTAGAGTTTACCATGAATTATGGCCCTAGAATTATTGCTCTCACTCAGACGTTTGCGGTGATACCTTACAATCGTCGTTTCTGTACATGTGCATGCCCTACGGGTGTTTATTCGCATGCAGGCGGCAGGGGCGGCTGGGTTGGTTTTAATTTTTTTTATTACTTTTTACTTGATCACTTTTTTCAATTAGCTTTATTGCTAATACACAGGGACTAACAAGACTTTATGTGAGTGTGTGGAGGCGAAACAGGTTCTCTTTATGGAGACATCTGAGGTCTATTAGACACCAGATGTCTCCCCTGCCCTCCAATACAAAAGATCGTGCACAGCATTGTGCTCAATCCCCTGTGCAGCCCGGCTTGTGACAGGAAGCATTGCAGGTACACTGATCACACAGATCGGAGAAAGGACGTTCTCCAGTCTGCTCACCGCTCTCCACCCTGAAGTCATTCGCTGTGATCCCGGGTTCCCCAAAATCCATGGCGGGGAGGTGAGGCGACAAGAAGGCTGCTACAAGTGATCTGGGCGTCGGGCAATAGTCCAGGGATGAGCGATTCCTAAGAGCAAAGTGCCATAAAACTCCCAGCGATCACATCAATGTGAAAATATATACCGTATTTTTCCGTCTATGAGACGCCCCAATGTATAAGACGCCCCCAACTTTTCTTACCCAAAATTCAGAAATCAATATTTGAAATGATATAATGCATCACACTTACCTCTGAGTCAATCACTTTATGCTCTGACATTACCGCTCTGGGCACTGGCTACACGCTCTCCCCAGCAACAGCTGAGGTCAGGTACAAAAGATTTATGATCGGATTACAGAGACAAGATAACAGTTTTCCTCCAATCATAAATCTATTGTACCTGATGTCAGCTGTTGCTGGGGAGAGCGAATTACAGAGACAAGATAACAGTTTTCCTCCACTCTCCCCAGCAACAGCTGACGTCAGGTACAATAGATTTATGATTGGAGGAAAACTTATCTTGTCTCTGCAATCCGAAGTTTCACTCGTGAGGCTAGTTTGCAGTGGTATCGGCAGTTTCGCAACCGCGGTTCTCCTCTCGGCCCCCGTGTATTTTTAGGTAAACATTTTTATGAAAAAAGTAGCATCTTATACACGGAAAAATACGCTAAATGTCATTGATTGGTAAGGGTTACTACTCACAGCCATCAATCTTATCTGTGTGAAAATAGAAAGTTCTGAACCCTCACCTTACTTATAATCAAGTTTACACTTTGCACTGATGTAATAACAATATTCATATTTGCTTAGCTGTGGGAAAATGAACAATCCAGGAGAGATATTTACATTATGGAATCAGAGAACACTTACCAAAGTCTATACACATCCAGTCATCCGTGTCCTGTCCCTCTATACAAACATGCGACTCAACGTCTTTCTTCAAATACTTATACTGAAAAAAAGAACACAAATTGTTTGCTGACTAAATTCTTCCATACAGTTCACCTTTAGTCACTTAGGAAGTAGAAATGGGTCTTACCACTGATTTGCTTCTAAGATCTGCTAGATCTCCTACTCATCGGAACGGTTGCTATGGGCAACTGGTCCTTCCTAGATATAACTATTTAACTATAGTTTTAACTATTCCACTTATTAACTATTTAATTGTTTTTTTATTTATCAATCACCTATTTAACTGTTTTTAAACATTATTTGTCACCCATATATTGAATAGTTTATAAAGGGTTACTTAACGCCGCACAATTAATTCCCACATTTTGGACTCATCTGTCTTTTTTGTGGCTTGCGCCAGATAGGTAAAATTAGACTGCATATATTCTATCCCACGTTGATCATATGTGCAAGCAAGAGAAGTTCGGTCAATTAGCATTGACAACACAGGATTTATCAAAGAAGACCACTATCCCAGGTGTACTGATTAATTACAGTCTCTGTCATAAGAATATCTGTAAAGGTGCCCATACACCTTACGACCATCGCAAGACTTTTGTCTTGCGATGGTCGTATGCTCATTAAAAGCCCGTACGATCTGCCCACCTTGGACGGTCAGCTCGTACTTGCGATCAGGGGAGGCCCGCCCCGCTGAGGGGCGGGCTTCCGATGACGGCAATGCAGAACGGGCAGTGTGCGCGTGCGCACACTGGCCCGTTCCGCAGCTATCGGGCTAGCAGGCTAGAAACCCGCCGAGAATCGTACGATTCTCGGCTGGTTTTCAAGCATGTTGGCTCGACAAAAGACGTGCGACCGTACAGTAGAAACGGTCGCACGTCTTAGTTCACAATGCTCGATTCTCGTACGATCGCGGGATTTCGCCCGATTCTCGTACGAGAATCGAGCAGTGTATGGGCACCTTAAGGATCACACTATGTACCATTTCTGTGTGATAACTGCATGTATCTGCTAAAATGTAGGAGGTCTGGAAAAGCACACTGCCACACAGATAGCGATTGTCTGTAGGAAATTTTAGCAATAGCGCAACTCTGACCCTGTCCTCACCGAAATGCTAGTCATCTGGCCTTCCTGCAGACTGTATGACTTTAATACTTGAGTCACTGACCAGAAACTAACATGCAGATAAGGACAGCACCAATATTTTCTAGTGTCAGCACTAGGGCTAAGCTCAGGTTTGGACCAAACCCCGGAAGGCAGCTCCTTCTGTGCTCCCCAAACAGCTGCTCTGCTGGGAAATTCCCGGCCCACAGCTTGATGTAAGCAAAGGGGTAGGATGCCGTGACATCATTGACCTAATATGGCTACATGCCCATCTTTGGTAAATTACATTGGCCATATAAGGCAAATAATGTCAGCACATGCACCCCGCCCCATTGTTTACATGCAGCTGCAGGGTGGGGAATGCCTGGCCCGCAGCTGATTAGATGAAGGTGCCCATGGCACTTCCTTGTTCGGAAGAGCTTGGGTGCTGACAAGGTTCAGTTAGAGCCTGAGCTCATCCCTAGTCAGCACTTGTAGAGTCATATGTGACTGATCCTAAGCATTAAAACAGACTGCTCGTTTCTTTCTAGGTTAATAAATAACAAAGATATACTCATCCAGTGCCGGCTTCTTCTTAGACCGGTCCCTGGAATGTCTCTCCCCCTCTGCAGCAGTCTAGGGTCCAGTAAATTATCACATCTATACACTGTGCATGGACCTGAGAAACATTCCAATGTTCTGCGGAGGGGGGACAGGCTGGAGGTAGGGTGGTGACAGCTGGCCGGCTCCGAGCTTTGAGTATATGTCGGTTATTTTAGCACCTAGACACAAACGAGCTCTTAAGTGCAGGGGTAGCCCCACTGCAAGGCTTAAAGTGACATTAAAGTCAAAGTTTCCCCCCCCTCCCAATCCTGCTGTAGGGACTTACCTTAAATGTCTCTTAATCCGATCATCTTCTTCTTTACTTTCCTTTTCAGCTGTCCCTCCAGTGCTGGTGCGGGCCTCCGATCCAGCGCCGACTCCTCTGTTCTCTTCTCTGATGTCCCACTGAGTCCGTGGTGCGGGTGCACGCTGCTCCATAGACTTATGGGCCGCCCCAGAGACTCTTCACGCCCCAGAGACTCTTCAGATGTTCGGGCGGGAGTGCGGGGCGAAGACACAAGGTAAGTTTAAACCCTTTTTAAAAGGTTTTTTTTGAACGTTTTTGCATATATCTACTGCTTGCTATCCATACATATATGCAGAAACACTCAAAAGGGTTTAATAACCCTTTAATAATAAAAAAAATCCTGGAGTTCTGCTTCAAACAGTTTGGCTACCCCTGATCTAGAGGAACCCCTTTACCGTTACAGCATCAGTACTCCATGGCTGGTGTGTGCGATAGTAAGTAGACAATCTGGCATGTACAACTCACCACTTTCAGGGTATACTGTGCCAAAGCTTTAAGATGTCTTGTTGAGGTTCCTCCAACAATAACAAAATATTCAACATATTTCATCTCTTGAGGAATTCGGATGACACACAGGTCTTTGCCATTTTCCTGCCGCAGTAAATTCACCAGTACATTGATGTTAAACTCTGCCAGATCCTCAGCTGAAAAGTACCAAAATGTATATTAATCATTGTATATTCAACTGCAAGGGATACAGATTGTGATAAAAGCATCTGGATGGAAAGGTCATGAAGTTTGCTCCTAGTGTGGTGACGAGCTACAATAACTAAGGCCTCTTCATGTGGACTAATAGGGGGTGCACATTTCTTTTTCCCGCCAAGCACCTATCTCCCCGACACTGGAAGCAAATAGAAGTGCGTATTGAGCTGAATGACCTCGTACACACCTGTGCTCTGTGAAGCGTTCATTTTATGGGTTGCCCGCAACAAGTCTGGCTGGATTTCGATGCTGAATGCCCATCAAACTATCCTTGCTGCCTCTCTCTGCATTTAAAGCAAGCCCGTCATTAAAAATAAAAAGCGCAGACAAATATACCTGATACCTTTCCTCTTCACCGTGCCACAAAAATATCCTACACTTAAGTCTGCTCGGAAACCTACATTTCTGGCAGTGTCAATGTCCAGTGTCCCGGCAGCAGGAAAGGTAAAAGATCTCCATCTTCTTTTGCAGGTATACACGTCTGCCATTCTAATCTATTAATCACAGGATCGCTTTAATAGGCGGGTAAAATGAGTATCATATGTGTTCCTTCATTCTGGATGAATTCCTAACCACATCTAAGGCCCCATTCACACTAAACGACATACCTTTTGGAGCGGATGCGCGCGACTTTCGGGGCGACGGTAGCGCGACCTTCACCGCCAGGCTGCATAAAAAAAAATCTAAATATTGCGCAAAATCCGCAGAAAAAGGGTCCTGTAGAAGCGACTTGCGACGGGCGACACGGAGCTGTACATGAAGACAGCTCCATTGAAAATCATTGGCCGGTGACCTCTTGCGATGTCGTGCAGCAAAAATGCACGATATCGCGGCGCAAATCCGCTCAGTGTGAATGTGGCCTAAGTGTCATACACAGCCAATGTTTGGCATGCGATGCACCTAATCTGAGAACAATCTGTGACTTAATCCCCCCAACAAGCCGCTGGTGGTGTCTGTAGGTGCTGATTCAGGAAACTCCTCTAATGCCTATGCCAGGTACAGAGCGGCCCTCATATCTTTCACGGAGGGTGGCAGATCTGTACAATGACTTTAATAGAATGACACTACTCATGTTAAAAAGACACTAAACTCAGGAGTTAAATCTTAAAAATGCATTTCTATACCTGAACTATTAACAAACATGTAACCTAAATCTAGGGCTGCAACAACTAATCGACTAAATCGATTATTGAAAAAGTTGTCAACGGTTTCAATAATCGATTAATCGTCTTCCGATTAGTTGGGCCAGTTCACGGCTCCCCACACGCTGCGCGCTGCACCTCCGCCCCACCTTACGCTCGCTGCTGCCAGACCCGCCTGCATTCACGCTCCACACCTCTCCGCCCGCCCACATCCACGATCGGCACCGAGAGGCGGTGAGAAGAAGTAAGGAGGAGCAGGTGTGGGGGGATGACAGCCGCCGATAGACAGGCCCGATCTCAGAAGCAAGTTGCTGGAAGACTGCTCAGGTAAGCCTGCACTTTGCCACACATGGTGCTCTATAATGTATTGCTGGGATTTGTATTCCTCTATAGCTGATGGTACATTGTGCTGTATATTATACCATCAGCTATAGAGGAATAAAAAATCCCAGAAATACATTATACACTGTATGCATAATAAATTGCTGGGATTTGTTGTATTCCTCTATAGCCGGTGCCATTCTGCATTCAGTGCTGTATAATTTTACACTTTCCATTTCACTATATGGCACACCACACTTTTTTTTTTCTTTTTTACTTCCACCGCTCCAAGCTTGCTCCTGTGATGGACTGCAATCTCAATACAAACTAGCAGTCCATCACTGGAGCCATTTTTAAAAAAGGTATTTTATTTTGTTTATCCGATTAACCGAACTTAATAATCAACTAACTAATCGATTTTGAAAATAATCGTTTAACTGCAGCTCTACCTAAATCCTTCATAAGCTTGCTCTTGTAACCTAAATGGCAATACAGGTATTCCACACTTACCGATCGAGTTCCGTTCCTACGACCAGGTCATTAAACGGATTGGTCGTTAAGTGAGGAACTCTATACAGTAATGTTCTGCCTTAGTACAGTACTGTATAGCGTTGCAGATGTACAGTACCGAACAGTGTACTGTACATCGGGCAATGAAAATACTCACCGGGACCCGCAGTGAAGATCGGAGGACGTCACTTCCCCCGGCGACACGTCGCACTGACGCTGACACGCGAGGTCGGAGGTCGGTCGTAAGTGCGAGTGGTCGCAAAACAGGTAAGTCGTTAAGCGAGGAGCATCTGTATACGATATCCTAAAAATGCATTCAAGAACTTTAACCATTAATAAAAATGTATCTTATTTGTGTATCACTGGGCTGTAGATCCTCAAATCATCTCTGAATTAGTGCTGACACTGTCCTTCCTTCTGGAGTGTGGCTACTTTTGTTCCCCATGGTCCCTGAGTGTGTTGTAAAGTAGTCGCTCCCGTGATGGACTACAATCTCAATACAAATGAGTAAACTAAATGTGAGATTGTAGTCCAAAAAGCTTGGAATGGTAAGCCCGTCGGCAGTGCGGGGCCCCGGTGTTCGAACACCGGGACCCTGCACTGCCCCATATTGCAGGACCGGACCGCACTGAGACTGTGCGGCCCGGTACCATTTGATCCGCGGACCGGTACCGGTCCGCGGACCGGGGGTTGGGGACCACTGCTTTACAACACACGCAGGGACCATGGGGAACAATACAGTATTGTTAATGGTGGAGGTATTTGAAGGCAATTTTAAGATTGAATTCCAGAGTTTAGTTTCACTTTAAAGTATATCTAGCCAAAACCTCAGCAAAGGTTAAATCCCTGTGAGGTTTTATTGTTCTTGCTGTTGGTGTCCCATTGAGGAGGCATCACTTTACTTCCTTTCCCAGTCACTCAACCGGAGAACTCTCTCACGTGAGAGGAAATCCCCCTCTACAATCACATACAACCAGGGATGCACCGATACCGGTATTTTGGTACCGATACATTTTCCCCGGTACTCGCCAATACCAATTACAGAGTACCGGAAGTTCCATTCAGGAAGCCAGGTGGCGTGTAATGACTCGCCACCCAGCTTCCGGATTAACAAGAAAGTCTGTCCCCTCTCACCTCAGCATGTCCAGCCTGTTACCCCCGGGGCCTCTCCAGCCAGGAGCGGCCTTCCTCTGGTACCCAGCCGGAGCCCTCTTGCTGGCCAATCATGGAAGCCGGGCGCCGTGTAATGACGCGGCGTCCTGCTTTCTGATTGGCCGGGAGGGCGGCTTCATGCTCCCTCGTCATTACACGGCGCCCGGCTTCCTAATTGGCCAGCTTCCCGACCAATCAGGAAGTCGAGCAGCACGTCATTACACGCTGCCCGGCTTCCTGATTGGCCGGGAAGTCGGCTCCATGCTCTCTCTTCACAAGTGACGAGAGAGCATGGAGCCGCTTCCCGGCCAATCAGGCCGGGCAGCGTGTAATGACGCGCGGCCCGGCTTCCTGATATAGCAAGTATCGGGCCAGGCATCGGAGCATTAGTACGAGTACTCGCCCAAATACTCGGTATCGGCGCATCCCTACATACAACGATTAGACATAATTGTATGACCACTGAGAGGTGAAGTGAATAACATGGATTGTCTCATTACAATAGCACCTGGAAGTGGGTGGGATATATGAGGCAACAAGTGAACATTTGGTCCTTGAAGTTGATGTGTTGGGAGGAGGGGGGGAGTAGTCCAGGGAAGGAAAACCAGTGAACTGGCAAGAGAGTCATGGGGGGCCAAGGCTTATTGATGCAAGTGGGGAGCAAAGGAGGCCCCACCTCACAACTTACAGGACTTAAAGGATCTGCTACTGATGGCTTGGTGCCGCAGACCACATCAGAGGTCTGGTGGAGTGCATGGCTCCACAGGTCAGGGATGTTTTGGTGACAAAAGGGGACCTACTCAATATTAGGCAGGTGGTCAATGTTACGGCTGCTCGGTGTATGTCTGCTATGGTAACGCATGTTCTTTGATGCGTTCATCCACACATGGAGTTTAGGCAGCCCATTCATTGGAATCAAAAATAGTGCATGTACTTTTTATCGTGACACACACCCATGCGTTGTAGTGCAAGGCACATCTGTTGGCAAGGTACGTTGGCCATGAATAGAATGAATAGCACCGCAGCACATCCACACACGCTCCACCAGCGCACAGATGTGAACGGAGAAGTGCAATATTTTACAGTTGCCACCTGAACAGGAATAGAAGGGAAATCTTTCAATGGGGACACCTGTTCTGGTGACAACTAAGAGGGGAGTGGGAGATTTCCTCTCACTTCCTGTGTTGTCTCTTTGGCTAGATTTCAGGGGAAATGCTCTACTGATACAAAAGCATGATAGGGGTTCTAACTATTCCCAGGACATCTACCCAATCCTAAAAAAATTGTTTTGTCTGGAGACCTACTTTACGACCGCACACAGCCCTACACAGAGGACATAGAGAGGCGGCTGGGGGCCATGCTATACCTCTCCTCTCCCACTCGCTGTTCGATGCGGCCACATCCGAGCTCGGTGTATGGTAATCCCAGAAAACCGTGCTGTGTGGGCAGATCCTCTGCAGGACACATGATCTCCTCCGGGGCACACATAAGGCCCCATGTCCGGCAGGTGCAGGTATAGCAGCAAAGAACGGGCCGGGCCCACTGTGTACAGCTGCAGCTCCCCCAGACCGTCCTCCGGTCACACTACGCAGCACCGTCAACAACTTCGTCCTCCGGGCCCACATGCCGCCTGTCTTCCGGCCACCGCGACCTTGACGGAAGCAGGGGACGCCGCTCGCTGATTGGTTACTAAGACGCCAAAAAGCGAATTGGATGGTTGGCCGAGCTGTGTCAAGGCATGTGGGCGTGGTCTGTAAAGCAGGATTGCGCCGGAAGTAGCGTGTCTCACTGTCTCCGCTGACTTCTGGCAGGCGTGCTCTGCTCTGCGTAGTGATGCCGGGGGACACTCGGCGGGTGCGGGGCCCGGAGGAAGGCTCTCAGAGCCCGGCGCTGTATGCTGTTAAGGAAGAGGGGAATGGCCGTCACCTGTGCCTCCCTGGCCCTGGCCGATGCCGGCATAGAGATGTATGACCTGGTGATCGGGGTGGCCGCCTGTCGGGGAGACAACGGGGCCATCCTGCTGGACCCGACCGAGGGGGAGGAGGAGTCCGCGGCCAACATGTGCCTTACTGTCATGCCCACTCTCAACCAGGTGTGTACTAGTATGTAGGAGGCATGAGGTGCCATGTGCCCTGATATCATCCAGGCCTGTACTGTATTTAATATAGAGAGGGAAACTTGGAGAGCCTGGGAAGATGCTTCAGGAGACACATTACATGAGACTGCTAGAGATCAGCCCCATGTCACATCATTGCCTCCATGTATGTGCTCTGCATGGCCCCATTACACATCATTGCCTCCATGTATGTGCGCTGCACGCCCCCATTACACATCATTGCCTCCATGTATGTGCTCTGCACGGCCCCATTACACATCATTGCCTTCATGTATGTGCTCTGCACGGCCCCATTACACATCATTGCCTCCATGTATGTGCTCTGCATGGCCCCTTTAATCCGTTACTTATTCCGTGTTTTATATTTCTTCCAGCGAGATTCATTATAAAACATTTGAGGGAAGAGTCATGTATAAGGGATGGACAGCACAAAAAAAGTGAGATGACACAGACCCCTTGCAGCTGCTGCCCAGCAGTGAGGAGAGCTCCAACCCATTGCTGCGGATTTTCTCCTGCTGTTTTGAAGCTCTCCTCCCTGCTGAGGGCCCGCTGCAGTCTGTCTCCCCTCCGATCCTCGCTGCCCTCCCCCACCTGTATCAGCAGGGATCGGAGGGGACACAGAGCCAATCCACCTGCCGGCACCAAGAAGGGAGGAGAGAGCAAGGACAGGGTCGGGGAGGAGAGTTGCGGGACAATCAGTAAATATGTGAAATATTTGCTTATTCCCTGTAATATTCAAACCGCAGTTATCAGTGCTGATCACTATGATGTTTGTCAATAACTGAGGACGTATTCAGATACAGTGTCCCCAATCATGAATGAACAGGAAGTGCTCTACATGACTTCCTGTTCATTCAAGATTGGGGACACAGTATCTGTTTACTATCTCGATTTATGAATTATTATTATACAGGATTTATATTGTGCCAACAGTTTGCGCAGCGCTTTACAATTTAGGGAAGACATTACAATCACAATACAAATCAAGAAAAGATGGTAAGGAGGGCCCTGCCCGTGAAATTAACTGTACTGACAGCTTCCTGTTCATTGACTGCTCGGCCTGCAGAAAAGACTGAGGACTGTGTCCTCAATCTCTATTTTCCCAATTGCCCTGACAGTAAAGTAAAAAAAATTAAATTAATTTAAAGTTAAATAAAGCCCCCTCTCCCTAATCATACAAAGGTGGGAAAAAGTCATTTTCCGTTTTGACCTGACAAATTCTGCTGCTGGAGGTGCGTTGCAGTGCCATTCATTTCAATTGACCCAAAACACACCTCCCACCCACAGTGTGATCGCCTGCACTAAAACATATGGTACTGCAATGCTGTGTGTTCCAGTGCAAAACAATTGTGCATGCAGTTTTATTCTGAAGTAAACTTTGTAACGCTGCATGTGTGTATTTTAAATTAAGGATGGTATTTATTTCATTTTTTTTATCTGATTTAATCAAAAAAAGAATCGGCCAACTAATTTGCAGCCCTACAATGAAAAAACGCAAACTTTTTACGTTCTAGAAGACATTTGCAAGAATATTTGTTCTTCACTGGTTTGAATACGTGTTTAGGTAATAAAACAGACTGAGCTTTTCAGGACCGTACAAAGAGTCCCAAAGGGCCACAAGTGGGCACCAGCATTTTCCAATGTACATGATTGAGACAGCATGAGGTTCCATGTGCACCCAACAGTTGTGTAATATAGAGGAGGCATAAGAGCCACGTGTCTCCCCATAATTCCCCACATCAGCCAGGTGTATATGATGTGTCATATATATTTTATGTACTTTATGATAATCCGAGTCATGAGTTTCTGCGATCCTGTTCCCCAGCCCCTCTTTATACCCTATAAGTCATAGATGTGCTCTATAGTCAGTTTACTGTGGGTCACCAACCAGCACATCACCAACATGTGTCCTTGTTCATGCAGGTGTCAGGACTCTTCTGCACCGGGGAATGGGAAGGAGACAGCCCAGTGGAAGCCATGAAGTTGTGTATGGAGGGATGTCAGCGTCTCTACCCAGTGCTGCAGCAAAGCCTCCTCAAATCTACTAAGAAAAAGGTCCCTCCACCAGAGCCTGAAGCCAGCTAATCAAGCTGAGATCACCATCCTCCGGATCTGATCACTGGCACCTCATCTCATCACTGAGCTCCTTGATTTCTGACATCACCAGACTGGTGTCAGGAAATGAACATTGTCACTAGCAACATGTCCAGCTCACCATACAAAATGTGATCGGTTGGTGGAGATACTTCCACTGATTAGCCAACTCTGACATCAGTTACAAAGGTTCAACTATGTTGTTAATGGGAGAGATACATGTACACCTGAGCAGCTTCTAGCACCATCTGTGGTTGCATCTGGTCATCAAATCCTCAAGGCCTGAGCAATACAATTTGTAACATCTGATTGTGGCTGCAGTGAGCGTGGATCCCGGTACACAGTGTACACCCATCTGTGACTCTACTGATGCAGCTCCACCTTTGAGGAGCCAGCAGGTGTGGTGGAAGCTTTGTGTGGTCACCCATTGTAGTTTTGTCTAATGCTGACCCTACTCTCTGCACCTGCTGATCTGATTTCTGTGAAATTATTTTTCAGTATTTGAGAGGATTTTGTTCCAAACATGTTTACCTGCTAAAAAGAGGATCCAAAAATAAAATGTTTATTTTCCTTACACTTCCTTCTGAAGGTGAATGTCTTCATAAGTAAAACAAATGAAGGGGTTTTCCTGGCCATATCCATGGCAGCGCTGACAAATGAGCCCAGCGCTGCCATGGAGTATAACCAGGAAAAGAAAATTACGGTAAGTTTGATTACATTTTCCGTTTTATTCTTTGCTGACAGTGGAGGCTTTTTTTGTATTAGTTGGAATTTCTGGTTACTTTGTTGGCCCCCAGGCCTATTCCATACTTCAATGAAAATGGCCAACCAGAGTGAAACTGCTGTATGCAGATGGGAAAAATGGCTACAAGTCTGGGCAAAAGTTTTAGAACACCCCCATTCTTCCCGTTTTTATTGAAATTTTGCAGTTTAATGTTTCAGTGTGCTCTGAATATAAAGCATAGAACAAAAAAAACAATTGGACATCCAAAAGAAATCATTGAATTGTTTTCTTGAACAAAATGTATTCTAAATTTTGGACTTGTCAAAGTAGCCACCTTTGCAGATATAACAGCCGAACACACTTGTGACATTCCTTCTACAACAAAAATCAAATATTGTTTAGGAAGTTCTTCCCATCACTGTTGCAGAAGTTCCCACAAATGTGTTGCACTTGTAGGTTGCTTTGCTTTCACCCTTCTATCCATTTCTTCCCAAAGCAGCTCATTGGGGTTTAAGTCTGGAGACTAAGCTGGTCATTCCATGGTTTGAAGCTTACCATCTTGTACTTTTCTTCTAAGGTAGTTCTGACACAGCATGGAGGTATGTTTTGAGTTATTCTGTTGCTGTAGGATGAACCCCTGACCAACTGGGCATAGACCAGAGGGTATTGCATGGAGCTGCAAAATGCTGTGGTAGTTTTGGTTCAGGGTGCCGCTCACTCTGTGCAAGTTATGGACTTTGGATCCAACAAAAGAGCCCCCCACACTATCACTCTTCCTCCTCCATATTTGACAGTTGGTGTCACACACCGAGGAACCATCCTTTTACCTACTCGATGGCGTACAAAAACCTGCGTGATGAACCGAAGATCTCACATTTTGATTCATCTGTTCATAAGACCTCCTTCCAGTTTTCAGTATTCCACTGGCTTGTAGAACAGCCTTTCTGGGGACATGCAGCTACCTCCTGTTATATTTATGTTTGTGCAGAAAATTGTTGCAATTACAAATGTTTCGGCATTCTCATGTTTATTTCTTTTGTTTGTATTGGTATGACACAAAAAAGTGGAGATAAAAAAAGCCAAATTCTGATACATTGCATGCATAAGTACAATAATGGACTGGACAAAATTATTGTCGCCTTCTCCAAATTGCAAGAAATAATTGCATTCCAGGTTTATGTGGGAAAGCATAGACAATCTCCAGGTTACAAGTCCATCTCCAGAGATCTTAATGTTCCTGTGTCCACTGTTTGCAACATTGTCAAGATGTTTACAGTCCATGACACTGTAGCTAATCTCCCTGGATGTGGATGAAAGAGAACAACAAGACCCCACTTCTCACACAGAAACATAAAAAAAAGCCAGACTGGAGTTTGCCAAAACTTACCTGAGGAAGCCAAAATCCTTTTGGGAGAATGTGCTGTGGACAGACGAAACAAAATGACAGCTGTAAGACTCATGACCTCTGACAGAAACCCAACTTTCTGACACTGAGCCCTACATTGCACCCCTGGATTCTTTAGATTTCATAATTCCATGCACACAGTCAAGACATCCAGTGCCTGAAGCAGCAAAGCAACCCCAAAACATCAGTAAACCTCCACCATGTTTGACTGTCATTTTTTCTTTAAAGGTCTCATTTCTTTTCCTGAAAACAGTAGAATGAGTCCAGATCTGAACCCGTGGGGGTGCCTGTGGAGAGATCTCAAAACAGCAGTTGGGAAAAAGGAACCTTCCAATCTGAGAGACCTGGAGCAGTTGGTGAAAGAAGAGTGCTCCATAATTCCTGTAGAGGTGTAAGAAACTCATTGATGGTTACAGGAAGCAATTGATTTCAGTTATTTTTCCCAAGGGCTGCGCTACCAAATTTTAATTGAGGGTGCCAATAATTTTGTCCAGTCCATTTTTGCAGTTTTGCGTGGAATGTGTCAGATTTGACTTTTTTTTTTTCTCCACTTTTTTTGTGTCATACCAATAAAAAAAAAAATAAACACGAGAATGCCTAAACATTTGTGATTGCAACAATTTCCTGCAGAAAGCGGTGCATTATCTGACAAAGGCAGGGGTGCCAATATTTTTGGCCATTACTGTTTCTGCACATTAGAGCTGCAGCTAACGATTATTTTCAAAATTGATAAGTTAGCCGATTATTAAGTTCGATTTAATCGGATAAAAAAAATGTAAAAATAAAATGCATTTTAAAAAATGGCTCCAGTGATGCACTACTAGGTTGTATTGAGATTGCAGTCCATCACAGGAGCAAGCTTGGAGCGGTGGAAGTAAAAAAGAAAAACAAAAGTGTGGTGTGCAATATAGTGAAATGAAAAGTAAAATTATACAGCAATGAATGCAGAATACCACCAGCTATAGAGGAATACAACAAATTCCAGCAATAGTACATTATAGCTGGCGGTATTCTGCATTGCACTGTATAATGTAGTATTGCTAGGTGTTGTAGTCCTCTATAGGCGAGAGGGCCAACCAATCAGAAGCCGATTAATCGATGATTGAAAAAGTTGACAACTTTTTCAATCATCGATTATGTCGATTAGTTGTTGCAGCCCTACTGCACATACTGCTGTAATTGTTCATTATTCCAGAGGATATTATCAGTGTTTCTTTTCGCAGATTCCACGGGGAAGAAACCCATTCAAAGCCCAATTAAACTCCCTTAATGTTTTACTGTAATGTAGTCAGGCTTAACAGTTTAGTCTAAGTGTTTCAGTAAGGGTTAAAAAAAAGCACTACAAGAGTCAGACCATTGTTCTCACACGTGCCAGTTCTCCAGCAGTGATCCAATTAATTGGAGCAGTGTTCAGGGTGGGGGGTGTTTCACCTCTGGAGAGCCATATCACTGCATTGTGTGCTAACAGTCTGACTCTCCTAGTACTGCCAGCACAGTTTTTTTGTTTTTTTAACACTTTCTGCAGCACTTAGATTTACAAAAATTTAAAAAAAAATCACATTACTGTATGTAGAGCCTGGCTGCATTACAGTAATACATTGTTACAACTGCACTTTAGGGGATGTAATACAAGTATTTTATTTGATTTTATACTGTTTTATTGCACTTTATGAAATAGTGTGTCCCAGGCTGCCGTTTTATGTAAATATTTTACATTTCTTAAAAATCAAAACTCCTGTGTGCCAACTAAGTGTCGGTACAAACCGCTCCCTTAGTTTACACGATGCAGATGCCACCAAGTACTTAGAGTAGTATTTAAGGCAGGGTATTTTTCCCCAGCCGTCTTACAGAACACATTAGCCTGGAGGCTCTGCTTACAGGCAGAAAACACATTACCCAGCAGAATTCAGAAGTCTCCTGCCACACCTTGCCCTCTGTTATTGTGTTTCCTCCGTCCGTAGGAGATATATCACCTATCTGGAGCTTCACCCTCTTTTGGGCTGTCCTGACCCCAGGTATTCTCTATAGGCTTCCAGCGAAGGGTATGATCCAGGCTCCTTTTTCCCTTCGGTACCTGGTGAGAGTATCTCTGAGATACTTCCACTCACTTGACCGGGTGGCGGCTGTCACTTCCAGTAGGGATGGCGCGGTTTCCGGGCACCACGAGGTTGTGCTCCAAGCTATGATCTGGTACAGGGAAGGGGCCTATTGCGGAAATCCCAGCACAGGCTGAGAGGACGCTGAACAGGAGGGAGTGCTGGATGATGGATTCTTCTCAGGCACCATTCCCTGTAGATGCAGCCACGATCAGTACTTCTGCTCAGGTAATAGCTTTGTTTTTATCGGGCTCATTCCCTGGGTTTATTTATGGCTAAAGTTTTAGCTCTGCAGCATGCACAGGAGGTCTCCGTGTTGGTGTTGGGATTCCTAGTTGTATGTCCACGGGTGGTCTCCTTTTTTATCAAATTAGGGCCCTTAACGGTTTTTTTTTTAGGCCAAAGCCCCTTTTAAAGTTAAGGGAGTACCAAGAAAGAAATTAGAAGAGGCCTCTTCTTCAGCCTCGAGATTTAAATTATCCCTGGAGCATGTGGATCACCTACTCAGGGCAGTATATGAAACCCTGGAGATCCAGGAGGATGAAGTACATCAAGGCATGATTTAATGTACCAAGGTTTGCAGAGGAAGCACTTTCTTTATTTTCCTGTGCACAAGGTATTTTGGGATTCTATCCCTAAAGAGTGGCTAGAACCAGCAAGGAAGCTGTTCTTATATAATAGTATAGAAAGGAGATTTATTTTTTGATGATGATCCTTCCTTTGTCTGGAATAAAAATCTGAAGCTTGATGGTCCGCTCTCTAAGATTTCCAAAAGATCTGATCTAGCTTTTGAGAACATGGGCAGCCTTAAAGATG